CCCCAAAACCCCAAAACCCCAAAACCCCAAAACCCCTATTTTACGAAGAAGGTTATATAATATTTAACGGAAATGCCCCTCAAAGCTGTAGTGGAGTCTGTCTTCCACGTAGAACATTTTAGGAATATAGACCTCTTTAACCAAGGATTCTATGCTCTAGCTGTCAAGATGTACCATGAGGAAGGAGACCAGAAGGTTTATAGCTACCCTCTAGAGATCAGTCTAAGTAAGACAGCTGAGAAAATGACCAGGCTTACTGATGGATTTCTTGATGATACAGAGAAACTCTTCTTTACTAGATCTTTCCTTATTAGGTATTTTGATGAAGAGGTTGAAATTAATGACCTCTGCACCTTTAGAGCAGAGGTTGACGCCAAAGATGGCTTCCTCAATACTGAATTCTTCATCGAGGCTGAACTTTACTACATCGAACTTAAATCGATGGGTGATGGGAAATTATCAGACAAAGAGAAAATCATTGTAGAAAAGTTTCCACTCAAGCCTGTAAGCAAGGCAAAACTCAAAGTGATCAGATTTTGTAATGGGATCAGTGAGTACTTCCCCATTGTATTTGAAGGACAGTATTTCAGTCAATTCAATTGCACTATCCATAGTTGTTTGATAGACATAAAGTACAGACCTTATGAAAATAATTATATTGAAGATCTTTCCCAGTATAACCTGGAATACTTGGGAAATCTCATTGTTAACATGTACGAAAGAATGACAGGGAAATACAAACGGTATCTCTCTGAGTGCCTTGAGCCAGAGCAGCATGAAGAGCTTGGAGACAAGGTCAATGTGCCTCAGATAAAACTTCCTGGTGAAGAACAGTCCAAAGAACCTGAAGAGACCGATGAATCAAGCAGAAGAAAACCTGACTTTGGCCCAGGAGAGGAGTATTGAATTTCATCACCTCAGTCTCCAGCAATGGGATCTGATAACGAAGATTTTATTGATGACATTGAGAATATAAGTGAGGAAAAGACAGATACTAAAATCCCTGTCTTAAAGAACAAAAAGAAGAAACTTATGAATAAAAATACCGGCAATTTTGGATCAAGATTTAACATCTCTGATCCCCTTCAGATGACTGAAAGAGTGTCAGCTGATTTTAGCTATATATCATTCCAACTCTGTGCTCTCTGGAATTGAATAGTTGAATGTATTAGGATTGAGCCAAAGTTCATCCTGGAGTTCCTTAAAGTTGACTATGATCAAAAAGTTCGTGAGAAATGGTGCGAAAATGTATACAGAAAGATTATCATGACCAAAGATTTCACCTGTCATACAGACGAAGACTTCAGAGAAATCCATTCTAAGTTTTTACAAGATAGACTTGAGAGCGGCTATAAGGAGAGAATTAACAACCTTGCTGTCCAAGACCAGCTATTGTGGGGTAAACCTGAGTTGCATCCAATGCTTATCGAGCACTGATATCAGAGAAACGATCCGTTCCCCTCAGATTTCGAAACAGAGGCTGATTCAGAAAGAGATTGCCCTTATGAAGGATACTATACTGGGTGCCATTTAATAGTCTTTGCACATGGATTCCAAGGAAGCAGTACTGACATGAAAGTACTAAAGAATTACTTTTCAATAATTCATCCTGACGCTGTCTTCTTACTTTCTGATGCCAATCATAATAACACTGAAAACTGAATAGAAGACATGGGTGAAAAACTAGCTGAAGAAATCACTAAGAAAATAGAATCATACTGTCCTGATTCTCTCGGAAGATTGAGCTTTATTGGCCATTCTATGGGTGGAATCATCATCAGAGCTGCTCTTCCTCATTTGGAAAAATAAATACAAAGAGCAGATGTTCACTTTTATAAGCTTGTCCTCTCCTCACCTGGGATACATGTACAACGCAAGTAAGATAATTAGCACAGGGATGTGGATCATGAAACAGTGGAAGAAATCCAAATCCCTTGCCCAGCTAAGCATGACTGATGCCAAAGACATGGAGGATACATTCTTATACAAACTCAGTTGTCAAGAAGGACTGAACTGGTTCAAGAATGTAGTGTTGATCAGTTCCTATAAGGACAGTTATGCTCCATTTGATTCTGCTCGGATCCAAAACTGTACTCAAGCAACCAAAGATTCAAAGTATGGAGAATTCTACATGAAAATGGCTAATAACATTCTTGAAAAGCTGAGCACAAACTCTATTCACAGAATTGACGTCAATTTTATGATAAATGAAAAGAACATGGATACATTTATAGGCAGAGCTGCTCATATTCATTTCTTAGAGAATCAATACTTCATGAGAATTCTTAGTCATAGATTCTTGGAGTTCTTTGATTAATCAGATTAATTCAAAATTTTCAAAAATGTTGATTTGTTTAGGGGTTTTGGGGTTTTGGGGTTTTGGGGTTTTGGGG